GAGCAGCCTCCTCCTCTTCTTGGCAGGTATGGTTTCGCTGGAGGAAATATGGCGAAGGAGCTGTTTGAGGCTCTCCAGCGTGGTTGCCTCTCGCTGGTCCTCGTACTCTTGTGGCGTCACCTGCTGGCAGAAGGTGAACGCTGCAACACAGAGAGGGGAAGAGGACATTGGCATTTTGACAATATGAAGTTTTCTGTACATGTATAAGGTGTATATGTATTTGACTTACTGGCAATTGAGTCAGGGTCTATTCCCTGCTGCATAGTCCTTAGTGTTCTCCTCACAGCTTCAATAAGGGATGTGGGAGTCTGTATTTATCACAGGAAGAAAGAGTAAACATCATTTTGAAAATGTTAAGTGATGTGAACGCTGTCTTTAAAATAGCATGTTATTAAAACCTGAATTAAAACGTAAGTGTACCTTGAAGAGCTCCGTGCAGTTGTCCATGAGAAACAGCACCAGGGTTTCGCTCTGGGGTCGAGTCAATTCATGATTCTGGACGATGGCTCTCTGAAAAGCGCGGCAGACTGAGGCCCTGTTATCAATCTGAGAGGAAACCCACCAGAAGGTCAACGATAGATACCAACACATTGCACAATGTACAGCATGGGCAGTGAACACTATAACTGGTTTGGCCAAAAAGGACCTGTTTCTGAAGACGGCAAGCATCTGGGTGAGCCGCTGTAGCCATGAAGGCCAGTAGTCTCCGGAGTTCATCTCTCACGCTGGTCTGCAGCAGTCGGAAACACAGCTGAGATGCTTTGATGGCTTCCTGCAGCTTCCCTTCACCTGGAAAGAAACAAGATGTGGTCAAGAAAGGAGAAGGAAAAGGATTTAACCTTCATGGATGTAAACAGTCTCAGAGGCACGGACACTTGTTGCATCATTGTTTACACACTTTTCATCTGATGTCAACATAAACCGTATCAAGTCTCACCCAGCGAGTTCAGAATTGCAGCATGTATGTCCAGGTGGCGTCCTGAGAGAAGCGGAGCTTTTTCCTGTCCACCGTAGTACTTGGCAATGGTGTCAAAGAGCAGTCTCTTTTGGCTCGCCGTCTGCTCCGCCCGGTCCTCTTCTGCAAAGGCGTCGACGACTTCGTGGCTGAGCTGTTCCCCTGCGACCACAATCAGCTGGTCGGGAAAGAGCTCCAAGCAGTCTGCCGCCGCCGACAGCCAGCCATCCAACCTGAAGACAGTGACGGTGACTGTTGGAATACATGCACAAATATTTGTTGCTTCCACAACTGCAAAATCTTTTAATCAGAGCACTGACTTGGGCAGATTAAGGGTGTCGGACAGCTCTCTCTCCAGGCATGTGTTGGAGATAACCAGGTCCTGGTAGGCCAGAGGAGCTCTGCAGGTCTGAAGCTGAACCCTGGCAGGAGAGGTCAGGATGGAGTCCAGCATGGGCAACTCCACTACATGCAGCAGCTGCAGCAGCGTCTGCTGCTTCCAAACCTCATCCACCACTAGGGAAGGAGGAGGAAAGAGCAGGAAGAGGAAAACATATTGGGAGGGGGAAAATATCTGTCCACCATAAACTGTCATGGACTGCCGTTTTCCCCACCATACTGGCAAATACTGACAGATTTGCTCCGTCTTACCAGCTTTGGACAGAAAGGCAGAAGTAGCGGGGGTTGTGTTTAGAGCTGGAGACATGGTCGGTCGCAGGTTGATGGTCCTCAGCAGCCTCTCAACCCTCCTGTCTGACGACCCGACAGCCAGGGGATTAGAGATCGTCCCCAGTTCATTCAGCCTCCTGAAAACAAAAAGAAGCATTATGGGGATTAATAAGCGCTGTGGAAATAATTCAGGTGTGAACATTACAAACAATATTCAATCTAATGCTGAATTAGGGGTTGGTTTAACTTCTGAATTTATGATTACTCAACTGCAACTCTGCCTTTTAAGACCTAGCAAAGACATCATGAAAGATAAAATCAATCGCAAAAACCAACCTGGAGCTCTTCTTCCTCTTAAGCCCCTGTTCCTCCTGGGGCATGTTTTCTGTGTCACTATCGCCCTCCTTCGTGGCAGAGTTGGGGAACGCTTTATATTCCAGAAAACGGTAAAGGCTGCAGCCGCCGTCCTCAAAGGTCACTTCCTTGTCCCTGCGAAACAGCTTCGTACCCACCGGTTCGAACACCTTGGCCTCCATCAGAGCCTGGCAGAGCCGAGCAGCTTTGAGGCGCGACACTTCACTCGTGCAAAACACCACATTCTGCATCAAGTAACTGAGGACCGCATCCACGGCGTCCGAGCCCGTGAAACACTCGGCGTGGACGCGTAGATGCCTTCTACGGCGGCGCACCTCCACCTGGAGCTGCAGGGCCTGGATGATGTTGTGCCACAGCTGGGTGGCACCGAAGGGCCCCGAGAAGCCTGGGGGTCAGAGGAAAAGGGGTCGAGGCCAGAGCTAAAAATGTTATGATGAACTTCATGCAGGATAAGCCCATTGATTCACATGCCGTTACTGTACCAGATTTGAGGTTAGCTTATGTTCTACTGTATATCAAAAATGATGTTGTAGCAGTAAACGTTGCAGCCTTAACAGTATAGTTGTCCCTGACATATTCATCATTTCACTGGAAACCAGTAGAGTAAGTGGAATATATTTATAGTACAGTAACGTTAGATATACTCAGGTGCTTACTCGAGTATTTCCATATGCTTCGTTACATTCAAAACATAGGAGTTTATAAATGCTGATGATACATTGTTATAGACTAAACTATCCGCTGGTGTAGCTCCACGTCGCCCAACTGCAACAGTAAAAGTCAGCTTACACATCAATCAATAGTAATAACAATCCCATAATATGCTTTTGAAGTATTTTTTTTCGGAGAACGTAAAGAAGTCAACACTAGACGTCAACGCCTTAACATGTATTTACAAAGCTATGCTTTGTTTGTGTGGCTGTATTCATACAAAGGGTAGATTAGAGAACGATAATTTGTACAGCGTTAATGCTCAGATCTTACCATTCTGTATGTTTTCACGAAAACTTCTCGTTTGGCTGTTCAACCTTCTGAAACGAGGAGTTAAATCAACCGCCATTACGAGCTGTCCGTATGACGTAGCATCCTCTTCTTCTTCTTCCTAACATAACCAAGTAGCGCGCGCTGCTGCTCTCTACAGGCGATAACTTGTACTGCGAGCCCTTTCTAATTTATGCCTCACAAAAATGACGCTTAAAATATTTTGATACATTTTTTTAAAGAAAACACACTAAAAAACGATAATGCAGTTGTTGTTTTGCTTTATTTTCTATCTTTCCTACATACTATATTGCACCGACTCCACCTGCCACACATTACTTAGGTAAAGTTAGAAAGATATTGACAGATTCGGACTTCCCGGTTCAATAA